TATTCTTATTCTGGTCTGGGTCAAAATCCTGACAAACAGAATTCCGAAAAACAAAATCTCAACAAAAATTAATCGGAGCTACAGTTAATATGGGCCAACTTGTCAGGATTATAACCCAATCGAGATTTTGTTTGTTAGGATTTTGACCAGATTTCAATTATTCATTAAATGTTTTCTGAAATTCACAAGGTATTTGATTAAGGATCCTAAACAGAAAAAATCCAACTGGATTATAACTAATAATGAGGGAAAAGAATTAGATGTGCGTCTTAAAATTTGCAACCGAATAACTCGTAACCATATAATGAATATGCAATGGAATGATTCATTACTTTCATATGTTGTAAATGTATCAAATTGTGATTTTTTGAGACGTCAATTTACTGTATATGAGTGGAACCAAATTGCACAAAGCTCTCAAAAGTATAATTCCAAGTTGAATACGGATCAAATACAATATATTTAATCTTGTTACGAACAACGTAAGAGTCGTATAAGAATCCGACAATTAATAAGAGAAGGTGAAAATCAAGATTTTTAAAAGTTTGTGGTAGAGATTTCTATTATCTTGTAAGTGTCTACAAATTGCTATATTATATATTGTATAATATAATTTACGAGTTATTAATTAAAATAAATATTAGACCAAATATTTGGGAACGAAAGACCTGAATGAGTTAAACGAAGAGACATGGGAGACGTTATTTATGACGCCTCTGATCGAACTTTTTAAGCGAAATCAAAATCTTGGAATATGTAAAATGATATAGCACGTTTGATGCAATATTTATGCTTGTTTTTTAATTGGGTAGTTATATATATATTAATATTTTAAAATTGTTATTTAGAAAAAAAGGTTCGAAAAAGTAGATTCAAAGACTAAAAGTTGGCACACTGTCAATGTTCGACGCCCAGACCACTCAATCAAATTAGAAACAACTGATGGTGGCCAAGAGGTTCTCTTTGAAGAAACATCGGGTTCTATAAGATCAATGATGAGTGCAAACTGATTCGTTTTTCAAGCGATGCTGCAATTAAACGGCATAACAAGATATTATTACCAAATGAACGATTTATTGCAAACTTTGAATCATTTTGTCAGCAATTAGAAAATTTGGAAATATTTCACTTGCATGGTAAATATTTTAATAGTATAACAAGCTTCTAATAAGCTTTTAAATCATAATTTATTTATTCCTAACATAGTACTTAATGATTGTAAAAAGTTTCTTACATTTTCTTCTTCAAAAAAAGGTTGCAACGAACCTTTTTAAATGTATACCGCAATAAATGCATATTTAGAAGAATAATAGAATAAATGCTTTAAGATCTTTAAGATAGTAAAAGAATAAATTATTTATCTATATAATTAAGGCCATTCAAAGCCAATTTTTTGTATGGATTTCAAAATCCGGTCGATCAGATTTTTTTGTTATAAATCTTATAATAAATCATAAGAAAATGCAAAATTTTATTAACGTTTATACTTTTATGGGCTGGTAATATACTGTTTAACCAATCAAATTTAATTGAGTCGTATTTTAGAACACGAATGTTTCAAAATTGGTTTACATTCAAGTTAAAATATCTCGATAAATTATTATATCAACATAGGGTAAAAAGTGAAAGACGTATACAATATTGTGCAATAGATGAAAAAGTTTCTGTTATGTATCGTATATGCCCAATATTGCCGTTTTATATGATTATGTGAAGTTTTTTCCATGATATTTTGCATGATAAAAAAATTCACATTATCATATAAAAAGTCGGATAATGATTGTAATAATTCGTTATCTTAATTGGCGTGGTTTCTTTTTTAAATAAGTTCGAAAAAAACCTTTTGAAGATTACTGTTATTAGAACAGGAGGGAACGTTGATGTTACACAATTGATTTTACACACACATAAAAAAATTTTTTTACAATACTTGAACAATCAGCTAGTGGATGTTATGATTATAATCATAACATCTACTAGCTGTGTAGCATCAACGTTCCCTCCTGTTGTTATTAGCGTTATTCGGACTTATTTAAATCAAAAAAAGTATTCGAAAAAATCAATCAAATAGATAAAATTATGAATCAAATGACTTTTCTTTTGTTTGTCTTAAGCACAGTGTTTGTTTTACTAACCAAAAATTTGGAAAAAATTTTTGTTTACAAAAAATGCCAGTACATTTTAAGACTGCATGAGATAAACAGGATTTTTTATTAAGCAAATCGAATTTCATCCATTAAGAAAATTGTCGACGTGATTTGAATAACTTTTTGTTAATTTATCTTCACATTGTATAGCAGGTTCGTTAAATTCCACTTGTGCATTTTCGCAAAAGTATTCATTACGCTGATTTGCTACATGCTAATTTTTTAAAAAGTTGATGGGTATCGTATAATTCTTGACAACGATCTTGATGATGGTTAGATGTTGAAGCGGTTGAAGAAATGAATGAGATTGGACAGGGTGAGAAACGTCAACAAGACAAAATTCAAGTAACTTAGTTAAGATGGATTTAGAATACCAGAATGAACTAAGGAAAGTTATCTTTAGCATACAAAATGATCTTGCACATCGCAGGATGAAAAGGCGAAGAAAGTTCAAGTAAATTAATATTTACATTTTATGAATAACTTGATTTTTTTATTTAGAAAATCTTTCACATTTTTTTTAGAACTTGATGACATTCAATTGGCAACAAAATGAAAAAAAGTCAACAGATAATTTAAATACCGATATTGAATCTATTGAGGATGATATCAAACCAACATATACTGTAAGATTTAGTTCTTAATATACATCTATAAAACTATGAAATAATTAATTCTTGTAATTGTGTCATTTAGTATGAACATTCACAAAAATTTGGATGCAAACACTATCAAAGATGATCAAAATTACAAGCAGAGTGCTGTAAAAGATTGTTTACATGTAGATTTTGCCACGATGAAAAATGTGATCATAAA